CCGGGGCCCCGGCACCGCACCCGCAGCGAGCGGCCGCCGAGGAGCCCGGCCGCGCCCTCCCGCAGCCCCGCGGCACCGCCAAGCGGCACCGGGAGCGCCGGGAGGAAGGAGAAGCAGATGGAGCGGTTGGAGATGACGCTCCTGCATCATTTCTATAACGCAAGCGGGAGAGCGCTGAAGCTCTGTAGCTTTTTGTTTATTTATTCGAGTGCTGAATGAGCCGTTTCATTTGCATGTCGCGCAATTATGCTACGGTTTACACAGCACGGAGGTGGGCTACGCTAAAGAAAAGGTCTTCTGAAAAAGGGTATTTGCTTACTATGCTTTAGTAAGGCTATCCTTACTAAAGTTAGCAGCCTCTCCTCCTCAGTCAAGCAGCGGGTTCTGGTATGCTGACAATTTCAGTTAGAGAGGAAAAGAATTCTCCTTAAAGAGGCAAGATAAAAAGGTACCGAGAGTGAGGACCAGATTTCACGGGACACACAATACACGGTAGAAGGAACTCCTCCCTGCTCAGAAGTTCTACCAGGGAGTCCCTGGAAGACAAACAGTCCCACTGAAAACAAAAACAGCCTGGAGGCAGAAGGACAGGCAGGAAAGCAGCTTTTAAACAGCTGTTGTAGAATTATCCTTCCTGAAGGTAGTTTGGCAGTTTTAACAGCAGCCAGTTACTGGAAGAGCAGAGCATTCACAACAGTTCTTCCCAAACATCTGTAACACCTGAGCCTTAACTTCATTATTGAGATTCTCATCAGAAAATGAACAAAAACTTAAAAAAAAAAAATAATGTTCCGAGCATTTCAGACAAGTGTATTAAGAGTTTAACACTTCAGGGATGTGCTTTACTATTCCATACACTTGGAAGGAATAATCAAGCATTTACCTGGGAGTCCTACCATTTGGTAATGCAGAACTCAGTGTGTTGCTTTTGCACTGCCAAGCAAACTACAGACTAGAAATCAACACTGAGTGGTAAAGAATAGGGTCCTGTATTATAAACAATAACAAAACCACAGTTGTGGGTTTAACAACAGTGATGCTCAAGGAACATAACTTTTTGGAAAGGTTCAAATCCTAGGAAGGGATTGCTGCTCCCTTTATGAGCATATCATGTCTTTAAGAGCCAACATAATATTCTAGAATTGCAATAGTTTGCAGTTTAAAATACCAAGACACAAAACTCTCCAAGATCACATCTTCTCCCTCTGTCATGACCAACTGATTTCACTAGCTATGATGGAAACTCAAGTTCACACCTCAGCCTATCGCTCTGTGCCCAAATCTATGTACTTCCAGATTAAAATAAGGCCTCCACAACACCTACTGAGACTGTTGGAGTTCAAGTAAGGTGAAATTTAATTTCACCATATGTTTTGCCATGCTTCTCTCTGGAAAGCTATTTTAATCTGGCTTGAAGCAAGATGCCAATACAATTAAGGAATCCTAACTACCACTATACACCCACTGTTGTAACAGTTTCCCCCTCATCTGCAAATGGAACTGGCAACTTTAATATTAGACTTTCTTCAAGAAAAAACTCAATGTAAAAAAGCAATGCTTGTTCCACTCTGCTAGAGTTTGACTCAAGTAAGTCTAGAAGACTTGTGACTGGAGACAAATAGGCTTGGGAAGCAAGGAAAAAAAATATTTCAAATCAAACCTAGACAATGGAGCCAGTGTTTGCTGCTCACTGTTAAATAACTGGAAGACTAACAGCACGAAACAAACCTCACTTTCAAACACAGCTTCGTGATGAAAACAAGAGCCTAACTGAGGGATTACTGTTACCACAGAACAGGAAGACAAGTTTATTCCATGGCATTAGGGTATCTTTGAGAGGAGAGAAAAATACCAGAACTCCTAGCCCAGGAATTGGTGATTTTGACACATACTCCGAATTGAAGCTTTTGCATTTTGTTTAACACCATACAAGATACTTGTCACTGGGCAAGCCAGAAGGTCAAGAGATAGCATTCACACACCCATTAAGTACATGGTCTGAAAAACAAATTCAGAAACAATACCATTCAACACTTCAGTCAGCATGAAAAAAAAAATACAATCATTAATTTTCTCAATATTTTAACCTTCAAGTCAGCAAAGCAACTGCTTCATTGAATTTAAGCATTCGGTTTGAACATTATAAGCAGTAGCTTTCAAGCAAAATCTGTGTCTGTTGTGAACACTGGAACACTCACTCAGATATCCTTCTGTAGATGAATTTAGCTATACTTTCTTTAGAAGCAAGAGTTTTCATCAGAAATTCAGCATGCAAAAGGACAGCTTACCAACAATATGACATTCTGTGGATACCTGTAGTTATTTTTTTAACAGGTAAGCAGGAAATTAGCAAAACACACTGAACTATTCAGACCCTTTATAGACCCACACAGCACAATACATACCCCTTCTTGCTTTGTGAATAGGTTGAGGCAGGCAGCCAGAGCCTCACATGTTTCCTGGGATATTTCAGAGACCACATCAACTTTTTGCAGGAAAGGAGGAGATATTCCTGAAAGAAAAAAAGATGAGTAGGGTTAGGAGGAAACTGTAACCTGCAGGATTCTTTTAATTTTTTTTCCTCTATGTAACACAGACATAACATTCATGCTCCACAGGAAGGCTGGTGAACAAGCAAAAGTAGCACTGAGGGAACATGAGTTCTTTCTTCAGCATCCTTTCCCTAATACTGGTGTAAGTGGCAGGATGAATGGATCAAGTTTTTCTTTCAGCATGGTTTAGAAAGCAGAGGTAGTATACCGAGGCAGCAAGACACTGGAAAAGTGACTAGCAACAAACTCCTTTAAACCACTTCCTAGATTTAAAAGCCTCAGAGTTGCCAGGTGACAGAATTCAAATGCAAAGGATACTTGGGTTGCCCTGGATTGAAGTGAGAAATGTAACTCTTTTTGCCTTCTGTTGTGGTACTATAAAGAAGAGAAAAAGCTTACCACAGTGTCTCTGGAGATTTAGGTTTGAAAAACAGATGGAGAGTTACAAGGACAATGATCAATAAAAAGGGAAGGAGATCTTATTTTCATGGTCTCATCTACTGGATAAGTAGTACAGCTTGCAGAGCAATGCCCTCATGGCCTGACTTCTATGACCATTTATGGAAGGGGCTACATGTCTAGAACCAGCAGGAAACCATGATAACCCAATTAGCTGGTAGAAATTATGTAACATTTGAGTTTATCTAACATTTGAGTTTTTCTGCATTTTAACTAACTCAGAAATTTGCATTCTTCAGGAGCCAGAGGACTCTGGTAATTTAAAGATAACACATTAACCCAATATGAGAACAGGGTGAGCTGCAGAAGCTCTCTGACATCTACCTGCAAAGAGTTCACTGACCCATCAAATTACAAACATTCATTGGAAGGAAAATAGGAACTTATTACTGCTCTTGACCAAGATTAGCAGTTTCTAGGGAAGACAGTGTCTTGGTTTGGCTTTGCTATGTATTTGGGTTACTCAAATTGTGGTTTTTTTCATTTTGTATTTTTTAAGAGTGCATGTCCTCACTGATGCTTCAAGTCAGCAATATGGGGTCAGAGAACCACTCCCACAAAGAGAATTTATCCACCTCATACTAATTTTCAAACTGCTTTTTGCAAATAATTCAGTTTTATGATATTATTAATTACAAAGGCTTCCCAAAAAACACTCACATAGCATATGGAGAAAAAGCTCTATTTTAGATCTTTTTTGGGATGGCACAGGGATGGAATAGAAACTTTTTCACTCCCAAATCTGTTTTATTACAGACTACGGATTTGTACAGATAAACACCTTGCCCTGTGTTTAAGCTTCATAAATTTTAGTCACAATATGTAACTAGGACTCAGGTTCAAATGAGCAACAGTTAAATATTCTCACAGAACCCCTTTGTGTTTAATACATGAGCAACTTCTGTACATGTTTAAGGCATAAAATGAAATAGGTTCTAACCTCTAACAGCTTGATGTCTGCAATCTTTTTTGGCAGTTATGCTGCAAAAATCCAGGTACATGTTAATTTAAGAGTTATTCTTTAAAATAAAGCCTGAGAAATTCAAATCTGGCATAAAAGTCATAGTAGAAGTTTGTGGAATATATCCCATCACACCATGTCTCCAGTTCCCTGCCTGGTTTTGTGATTTCACTTTACATCTTGTTTATAATATCTCAGCTTTCATTGTGTTTCTACTCACTAAAGGGCAATTTATACCTATCAGGGGACACTTATGTTCTGCAAGAAGCTACCAACTACAGAATTTTTTAAAACTTGAAAGTAAGCCCCTACTTTATATTCCTATGGTACTACTCAGTAAGCACTGTATCTAAAAGCAGCTTAACTACATTCACAGCCACTAATAGCATTTCTTTCAATCAACATACTTATTAGTTGTTTCCCCCAGTTTGAAATCTTAGTTCTTAGCAATTATGATGTTAGTCTATTTGAATTTTTTTCAGTGAAGATAAGTCCTACATTTTCATGCTCCTGAAAATTTAATTTAACTGAAATTAAAGCATGTGCCACCTGAAAGAAAAAAAATCAGTTTCCTGGTAACAAACTGCATTTCAGAATAGTAAGTTTTACCTTTTGTAGCATCCAAACATTTAACCATTGCAAGGAAGTCTGAAATTTCTTTACTGAGTCTTTGTTGGCAGGTTTGTGCTTTCTGAAAGACAGCAAAGATAGCCAGTTCAGAAGTGCCTTGTTCCAAAGAAGGTACATGTTTATTCTCTTAACTCTACTGAAATTTTTAAATGTGAAAAGCATTAAATCTTAGCAAAGATTCCCAGTGACAGAGACTAATATGTTAAAACTGAAAGAAATTACTTGACATATCTTCAAAGACACACAAGCAAACATAAGATGTATACACAGTACTTTGGCTTTTGTTTAAATTAGCATAGCAAACCAAACCCCAAAGCTATGTTATATATACCACTTCTGCATTTCCCCCCCCATTTTTATTTAAAAAGTTTGAAAAACCAAGAAGAGCCATTACTTATTATTTGACAAACCTAAGGCCATAACGAGCAAATGCAAGGGTTAACTAATGTATGGCAAGTACAGTAACACGCAGGAACCCACCACAAGATCATATTCCAAGCCTGCATTTCAACTTTGAGACAGTTAATCTACTAGATTATACCCTCTTCTGTAGGCTGCTGGGAATGGCCAGCAAGATTTATCCTCCCATCTTTGTTCTGCCATGAGCTACCTTCGAGTTCTTGTACCAAAAGGTATGCTACAAGATACTAGGACTTCAGTCACACACCTATTTTTACAATGAAGTGTCAACTTTCCCTTAAAGTAAAAGGTTTTAGAAATAAAAAGCAGGAATCACAGAATGTTAGAATGATCAAGGAAGGCTCAAATCCATTGTAGGTCTGACAATAAAAGTGCAATGCATCTAAGGTGACCTGAAGTGCTAAAGGATCACTTCTAAGCCATTTCATTGCCTGTTTTATACAGGTAGAGCTCATTGTTATTCTCCAATCTTGGTGTCACCAAGTACAGTACAGAAGGCTCCCTCTCCTGGCTGAATGTCTCAAGCAACTTTCTACCTTATAGTAATACTGGTAAAACTGAAAAATCACAACTCTGTAGCTGTGATAAACATGCCAGTTTATGAGTACAGCATTTATGCATCCATGGGCAAAACTGTGATTAATTTTTGGCTAAAAGCATACTTAAGTATTTCAACACAAAACTGTACCAATCTGCAACTGCCTAAATGCATGAGCCGAACAAGTACTCGGTACATACTTTCAGAGTATCCTGTAGGTCTTTGACAGATACTGTTTCATCTTCCTCATCATCGCTACTCAACTGTTCCTGCGTGCAGTAGTGAGTGCTATATGCAGAATGGTCTTCTATTGCTTCCAACCAGCTCTGAAGAGAAAAAGACAGCGTTAATACATATTTCAAAGGTCATCCCCAGAAGGCAAAGTATCCATGCAAAAGAACTAATTAAAATTTTCTATTGATGTGAATAAGATATTCATTAGTAAAATGAGGCACCTTAATAAACAGAAAATAGACTGTTAAAAATAGTAACATGTATGGAAGACAAGATACTCAGTTCACAGAGTGCCACAGACTTAAGTGACCACACTTCAAGCACAAATGTAACCCACCCCTCTGTCTATCCCAGGTCACATTAAAAAGTTGAATTGATTAAGAAAAGACTGTAGGGAATGTATTTGCATCTTTAGGTTTCTATTCAGACAGCAAGGTCCCTGTGACAAAGTCAGCCTTCTTATGCATGACAAACTGTGTACAAAACCTCAAGCATTCTCATAGTTAAGAGGAAGATTAATTTCCTGTTTATTGAATCACAGCGTGGCCAAGGTTGGAAGTGATCTCTGGAGGTCCTCTGGTCCAGCCTCCCTGCTCAAGCAGGACTACCTAGAGCTGGTTGGCCAGCACTATATTGAGACAGCTATCGGGTACTTCCAAGGACAGACACTCCACAGCCTCTCTCAGCAACCTGTTCCACTGCTCAGTCACTCTCACATTTTTTCTTATGTTCAGAGGAAACCTCCTGTGATGCAGTGTGTGCTCATTGCCTCTGGCCCTGTGACCAGACACCACTGACAAGAGCCTGGCTCCAACCCCTCTTTGCACCCTCCCTTCAGGTATTTACATACATTGACAAGATCACATTAAGCCTTCTCTTCTCCACACTGGGCAGTCGCAGCTCCCTGAGCCTTTCCTAGTATTAGAGATACTAAAATTTTATTAGGACATTTTGGAGTATGCCTAAGAGTAGATGCACTGTTAAATATTCTTTTCTTCAGGATAGTGAACTATGAAAGAAAGTGCAACAAAAGGAAGTTGCAGTAGAAATTGACCACACAGAGAAGTTAAGAAAAAGAGGAATTTGAACTACAGGGTATAAAACAGGCATGGAGCTGTAAAACAAGGTGGTACTAATTTTAAAGAAGTGAATGACAACCTGTTTGTTTTTGCTATTTATTCTATAATCATGCTAAAAGATTCAATATATGCATTTACATTATCAAATCCTGATGGTCAAAAAACTGAACTCACTACTTATGCCACCACAATTAGTGGAATGCAAATTATTCATTATAGAAGTTATTACCAAAGGCTGTAAAACATAAAGAGTTATTATTACCTCTCTACTTTGAGAAGGAAGGCTATTTTTAGGAATCTTGAAACGATGAACAGTGTCATCAAAACATCTGACAGAAAAGAAACAACTGTCTGTAGATTTCACCTAAAACAACGTGGAAAAAAGACAAAATTAGTATAATGCATCACGAAGAAGAGACAAACTGTTAAGAGTAAGTGAGACAGAGAGTAAGCAAGCAAGGCAGAGAGTAAGCAAGCAAGGCAGAGAATTACTCTTAACTCAGAAGTTTTTACCACAGTTTTGATGGAAAAGAACTACAGTTTACAAGAAGTTTGGTCAGATTAGTTTTGTAAAGTGTGCTGTCTTGCACTTTTCATCATGAATGATAAAACAGAAGTTCTTTATGTCAAAATTTTATATTTGCACCACTTGATTCAGACAAAGTCTCAGCAATGGTGCAAGACCACCAAAACTAATTGGAAGATATAGAAAAACAAAACTCACTTTTCATATACTATTGTAGTTTAACAGAACTTATGGTTCCAGTCTATAGAACTAGGACAGGCTACTTACAGAAGAAAAAGTATTGATATTTTTCTTAATGCATTCTCCTTAAACAATCTTCCTGTGTATTTTTCACAACACCTGGCTTGTCTTTACTCTGTTCTCTGTTCATCCCTTCCAATTAAGGAAGTTTTCCAAAAGTCACCTTCAAAATTGAGAAGCTGATCTCAGCTGGAGAACTGAAGTTACACAATCAGTCACAAGTAGCCAGTGACAGCTACAGAAGGAACTAGAGGTTTTGTGTTCTGTATCACATGCTCCAAACAGTTGTTTTTCCATAACCAAAGAGGTATGCTTTTAGGAAGCCTTAGGTTTGTTCCCATCTTCATAACTCTAGAAGGAACCTTATGGCCACTTTACCAACATAAATACTTTGCAGGAAACATTGGTTCTTCTCAAGGAAAAGTGCAAGGTTTTCCCTTTTTTTGTAACAAAGGCATGCTTACTGACCTAGCTGAAGTTTTCACTGTTTAAGTATGAACACCATCACATTAAAAAGCCCCAGTAGTTACAAGTCATTTCACTTCCTACCGTGCAGACAGCTTGTGTTAGATGCTTGCATCCCTGACGATGATCATGATTTACTGCATCAGCTCTTTGAAAGAAAGAGAGATTTAATAAATTGAAGCTTAGAATTATTTAAATCACTTATCAGAAATTTAAACACAGAACTTACTGTCTCCGATACCAGGAAAGGACTCCATGTTCTAGAACTATCCAGTAGAGTTTCCAACCAAAAAATCGTGAGTTCTGAAAAAAACAAAAACAAACCAAAAAAGGTCAAGTAAGGTTAACAGCTGAGGAGTTACTATCGACAGTAAGTTTGGCAGCTTGAAGGCTACAACATAAAAGTGGCAGTCATTATGAAAGCATTTTAGGTTTTAAATATCTTGGTGATCAGAGCAACCTAAGATTACTTTACAATTACAGTGCTATTCTCTATTTTGGAAATACCGAAAGGCAAAGACAAAAAAATACCAAAAGACAAAAGTTTTGTTGAGCCTGCTATTCAGTAAGAACTGAAATATTAAACTGCTGCATTTATTAACATCACAAAGGCTGCTGATCACCACTTAATTCTACTTTATAAAAACCAGATAAGAAATGAAACACATTGAGATTTCTAACTACAACTTTTACCTTTCACAAGCTTTTGTACAATTCTGGTCTAAAATCAGTTCCTTGTATTACAGTAGTGAGTGAATACATATGAAAATTTACACTGAAGAAAACTTCAGAGAGTTTTCAAAGACTTCGTAAGGAACATAAAAATTAAGCTTTCACATAGAAGACTAAGTCTTTTTTTTTTAACAAGGGAAAAACCAACTCTTGATACTTGAGTATCAGAGCAAAACAAACTTCAAACAAGCATTTGATTGATATCTTCCCAATTTCCAGAAGTTGAACTTGTGGCAAAATATTACTTATAGATTGTTAGAGAATAAGACATCTATTCAGGAAAGAAAAAACACAACATTTTGCTCACCACACAGACAAGGCACAAAGCTTTATGACAGTGAAGATTTGCTACAAAAATTACCAAGGAAATTATGAGAGATTTTAGGGACTGAGGTTACGATCAGAGTGTAATAAATCTAGTAAAACTGCTCCACTCAGCCAGTACATCTATAATTTATCCAATATATTAGATTAATGTAAAATCATTTAACAAATATATTATTGAAAAGCTCCCTCATTTATCAGCTCTTACTTAAGTACAGAAAATGACATCCTTGAAGATCCTACAAGCTGTTTTAGAACAGGAAATAAGAAATACCTTCCAAAGAAGACCTTCGTATCGTCTCAGGGGTTTGTTAATAACCTGCATAGAAATTAAAGATTATGAAGGAATAGCTTCAACTAGACAGCCTTTGCAAGCAGCATTTTAAATGGGTAAAAAAGTTCCTACCTTTCGAGTTTTACCTCCCAGTATCAGTTTCATTTCTGCACCTTGGGCTAGATCAAGGGGCGTCTGATCTGTTTAGCAACCAAGACAAGGCATGAGAATTTAATGTACATAAAGCTACACATACTTAGAAATAATCACTCTGACACTGTGTTTATCTATTAAAGTTTGGTCTCACAAGCATCCAAGTCTAGTTGGAACTGAAGAACATAAGCTCCTCAGGGGCAGAAGACTAATAAGGCTCTGAACTTTCATGTACTGAACTGTCCTTCAGAATTCTACTGGCCACAAAAGAGGCCTTTGCTCTTACTTCAATTTGGTTTTGCACTCCAGCTATATAAAACAGTTCAGAACCTTGACAAATACCAAGATAGAGGCATCTTTAATTAGATGACGAACACACAGTCTGTGTACTATCTGCATAAAATTTTCCTGGATTTGCTTCCATTAGCATCCTTCTTCTGAGAAGCCACCTTGTCTGGGCCACGCCTTCAATCTTTTTGCTTTTGTTACCTGTGTCCAGTGTTAAGGATCAAGTATACAAAACCCAGGCATATTTCATGGTTAAGACAGACAGCTGGTAAATTTTCCAGAAATGGGCAAGTTTGAAAAATAAAAACATATATGTTTAAGTGTTTTGCTACAATTCTTAAGTTTCTTTCAGTTTAGTCAGTGTTGGGCTTACTTTATTAGTGGTACAATGCTTGTAAAGCACTAAGATTTCCCCCAAACATTCGATGGCAAGTAACATAGCTTATAGAAACTGTTAACCTTCTGTCTCCTATGTGCTTGCATTTGGTACTCACCATTTTTGTTTCTTATTTTAGGATCTGCTCCACTTTTTAGAAGTTTCAGTGCACAGTGCTTATGGGCACGGTATGCTGCACAATGCAATGGTGTATTCCCCATCTGATCTGTACAGTTGATATTAGGTGGTTTGGGTTTGTTCAACTGGAAAAAAAAACAAAGCTTTGCTTACTTTCCAGTTTTTCCTCAATCTTCAAATGCCACACTCATTCTTTTGAAAGTTAGCTGTTCCTAACTAGGATGCTTCAGCATAGATTTAGCAACAAAGAAGCCATGTAGCAAGTGTTTTAATAAGGGCAAGGACTACAATAATTAAGCAAGATGTTCAGCTAGAGTAAGGAGCTTCTTAGGTTTTTCTTCCTTTACCCTTTCCACCTCTCCTGCACATAAGAATATCAAATTTATCAATATACAAATCTCACTTCAAATGGAAAATTCATAAATGTAAGTGGAAGTATTCAGACTGCTTCAACACATTAAAATGTATTACTAAAGGTGATAACTAGGTATAAAGTGTTCCATACTGCATGTCTTGCTTCCAAGGACCCTCTTCAGGACTCTCATAAGCTTGAGTTCAAGCAGTGAGACCCTGCTTCAAAACCCAACTGGTATCCACAAAAAACATTAGGATTATGCTAGTAGATCTAGAATCATTACACTGCTATTTACCACTAACTGCAGAGCATTTAGAAAATTAGAACATGAAAGAAACTGATAAATATTATTTTGCAGCCTTCAACAATGAGGCTGGAAAACCCTGGAGGGTTCATCACCTCAACATAACATCATGTGCAGCACTAATATTCTGAAGTCACAGCACTCTGAAATGCAAAGCCTGATGTCACATGTTGCTACATTAGCACTACAGTTTGAACCACAAACACTTGAATTTTTACCAAGGCAGTCAGCTTCCCTGTTGCCCCCTCTCTTGCTGCTCCTAAGAGTTCTTCTTCCCATTTCCTCTCTTGTGTCCTTTCCACTGCTATTAAAAAAAAAAACAAACAAACAAATTTAAGGTCAGTCTCAATAAAGTAAATTTCAAGTCCAGCATTCAATAAACTAGATTCAATAAACTAGATAGCCTAAAAAAACAAGAGTTTACAGTAGTATTTATTTGGGACAGGTAAAAATGGAACTCATTCAGAAAAGTCTGTCAGAGTGAAAGTATATTCAAAATCATGTAATATTTGACAGGATGCAAGAGTGTGTACGTGTATATCTTATTTTTTTTAAACACAACCCAACCCCACTCCCTAGTAAAAAAGAAAAAACAGGACAACTATGCAATATTTTCATCAGATCTTCCCTGTGCTCTTTTCAGTTTCTCCTCTACTCTTACTATTATCCTACAGAAATTTTTACTCTTCTCTAACAACACAGCAGATAGGACTGTTATCTGTGCAGTTGCATGGGGAATCAGGAGAGAGCTCACTTTTCTCATTTACAGTCTGTGGTGCTGGACATAGAGCTTCAGCAGCATGTAAGGGTATCACATAATAATACCAGGAAGCAAGACAGTTCTTGAGCTCCCCAAAACTATCAACAGTGAACCTATGTAAATATTTAGACATCATCTCACTCCCTTTCAACACCTCCGAGGCAACGGAGGAAATGAGGGGAAGGGTTTTTACTTTTTTTCCTCCCCTTTTGACATAACCTCTAAGAATGCAATAGCAAGTCCTCAACTTGATCCAAAACTAGGTTACCTTTGTAAACTGTTCAGAATTTTGCTGTTCAATGATTTTGCTGATGCAAAGTAATTTACTATTGTTGACTTGAGTTCTTCCTCTTCCAGTAAGCTAAGGTTTTGACTGCCATGTATCATTTAGAGCTGTAGCAAGGATTACCCCAACAGGATTGAAATTGTTTCTTGAATAATGCTATTAGCATTCCTTATACTTAACTCTCCAAATCACGTGCAGACATACTGTGAAAAACCCCAGCTGTCAGCACTGCAGGCAAGAACTGAAAGTTCATTTTTGTTCATACATTTTCATTCTAATGGCCAAATTGAAAGAGAAAATTCAATTAAGTTTCTGTAACTTTCAAGAGAAAAGTCATCTTTTAGAATGTACAAGTGTTGAAAAAAAGGCTATGACCTAATAAAGTTACCTTCCAACATATTCCTTATGTCTTTATCATGAGTAACTTCTCTTGCAGTTTCTCCAGTCCCATTAACAATAGAAATATCAGCATTATGTTGCAAGAGTAACATCACCACCTCCTGGAAAACAATTTAAAAAACCACTGCTTATCTCTTATGGCAAGGCCACAATCAGGCTTTCCAGCTACTGATAGCCTGTACAATGAGCTGTATAATGACTTTTCAGAACTGATGACATAAAAACAGGAAGGGAAGTTTTAGGGAAACTGAAGAGTGGGACTAAGTGCAACCTTCTCTCTCATATCAGTCAGGCTGAAGGAACTAACAGGAGTTAACTACAGCTAAACAGACCAGCTCTGATATAAAAGTTAGTGCACCTCGTGTGAATGGTGGAATTTGACAGACAAAAATAGTATGATGGGCTCTTTTGTTAAAAGACTAGGCAGTCACTCCTTCAGAAGGGTCAAGAGGTTATTCACAGAGGCAGTACTAGTTTGAGAACAATGATGACATTTGGGGAACTATCAAACTAGTCTGACATTCCAGGTCCTATAACAAGGTCTTTAGTTCCAGTTTTCTATGAGGAAACAGCACTTCTAGACACCAAACAGGTAAGTGTGTCCTAATTTACAGTTTCTGCCCTCCAGAGGCCACTAAGATTAAAACAATACAGTTTCTCTCTATGTAAATATGCAGTTAGTTAGGAGTAACAATCCCTACTTCTTTTACTGTCAAATGCACTAGGCACAAACACAAATTAACCTGATGTACTTTAGCAGTAGATGGGAGATCTTTACACTGGTTTCTACATGATAACTGACATCTGCAGCTAGAGATAGTTCTATGCTTCAGTATTTTCTCTGGCACACAGCAGAAGGAGATTAGAAGCAGCATCAATTTGCTACACATTTGAAGCACTGTGCTGCAGTGGAAGACAATAGTATTTCTCTGTTGGCAAGCGACATCTTTACCAATAAAAAGCTAAAAAAGATATGACAAAGTATACTAAGGAAAACTGTGGACCAGTTTTTTTCTATCTTCAAGAGAAGACACTTGCACCATGTTTTTGTTTTGGACAGTTATACCAGCTAGGTAAGATGTCTAATTCTTTTGAAGGCACAGCATCAAGACATCTTTTTGAAGCGATCTTATTGCTAGTACTTCTTTAATAATTCTATTATCGAGGCTTTAAAAATCCAAACATACTTTACCTTACGTCCTGTGAAAGCTGCACGATGGAGCGGAGTATCCCCCATGTCATTCAGCACATTCACATCTGCACCAGCCTAAATAGCAAGACAAAAAGACCTCTGAATGCCTTTCCAACAAGAACTACATAGTGATTTCCTCTGACTGGGGGAAGCAGTAGGACAGGACACTAAGGTAGGCCTTGTGGCAAATCAAATCAGATCAGAATTGACACATCCATCCTGCAAGTGAAGATGAAGTACATATATAAGATTAATAACCAGTACTCTATAAGCCACTTCAAAAAGAAAAAGCCTCCTTCATTTTCTCCAGCTATCTCTCTCACTTTTGAGAACTAGGTAGATATAAAAAAAAGTTTAACACAGGGGAAGGAGGTATTGTTTGGTTGGGTTTTTTTGGGGGTAGGTTTTGGGAAAAAGTACAAACTTAAAGAACTGTAATGGTACTGGATAACATGTATACACAATATCTCTATGTTACATGCAGATAACCTGTAGGAGTGGCTCTGCCTCTCTAGAAAGCTGCCTTTCTTCTATCACAAAAAACCTGAATAAATACTAACTGCTTCCAGCATAACAAAGAATTTCCTATCTTATATGGAGGAAAATGGAGTCATACCTTCAGCAAATCCTCTACAACAACAGCATGCCCAAAATAGCATGCGAGGTGAAGAGGTGTCCAACCCATATTAGATTTACTTCTGCCTAAAAGACAAAAGAGGTAAATTAAGTTTTGGTCACACAGTACAAGAGACCTTTGTCACATACTTGGAGGCTGGCATGGATAATCATTCTTTACAGTAACAGAGGAGCAAGGAGGCCAGAAGCATCATCACTCTTCATGTCATTTGAATTACTAAATCGTGATACAGTCTGAGAACGCTAGATTCAAACCTACAAAGTCCTTCTGAAAGGATAAAGTCACATTGTGCGACAAAGAGCAAAATTCTTGTTTTCATGCAATACACTGTTCTTCAACAGTAGGAAGAAGTTTACTTTCATTCACTATGAAAACAGAACATGCAACTACATACTTGTCTTGTTTATCAGAAACCAGTTTGGTTTAGCCGATTTTATATCCTACACTCAAGTGAGAGGTAGGACAACCCATCTTTCCAAACATATGACTCAAACCAAAACAGGTAGGCTAGTCTCAAGTTAGGGTTTTCTTGTTGTTATTGTTTTGTGCTTATACTCAATTTTAATAAAGCTAGACTTACTAGGTACCATGATATGAAATTTCTGTACTACAGCTGAAAGCCTCTGCATGAATAAGCACAAGTAGGGTAAAGGCACAGAAGCGACCATGCAAATTTGTTTTAGAAAGCATTTAAAGCATGTCCTGGAGGATTGGCAGTATGAATGAAATTCAAGAACTGTCCAACAATCACTTATGTAAAAGCAAGATTTCAAAAGTATTAGAGATTACTAGTTTAGCAACTCATGCTAATTTCCAGTTGCAACACACAACTGTACTAAGCAAAGCTAATTTGTGCATTGTTTTTACTAAGCAACAGATCCACATCATTCCAAGAGCCACCTAAAAGCTATAATTTTGTTATTTGGAAGCAAAATGAAAATGAGGCATTTGAAATGGTTTTCAAGTTACTGCCACCATTAAGTTTTCCCTTTTCACATATCCTCAAGCTGTGGAGTCTGGAATATGCATAACATACATTTGCCCTAATGGGACAAGTCATCAGCACAACAAAAAGGAGAACTCCTGGTTTTGCAAGTTCATAATTCTTTGTTCTCATATTTACTAGTTAACATTAGAATGTGGTTTACAACTGAAATATTTTCTCATTTCTTACAATTGTTTTCAGCTAATATTTCTGCCCTCTGTTGGCCATTTCTTTTGTTATTTGGTTTTCTTCCGAACCCCTGCGTTTTTTTCCAACCCCAGATTCTTCCCCTCAACCCCGTCTGGCCTACAACAGAGCTCCTGTCCTACATAGCTGATAGGTAGATAAATAGCTGATTGAAGATAAATAACGTGTGGATCCCCAATTCTGGAGCTATGTATGCTGGGTAACATACTAAATGGACATCATTCACCCCTCAGTCTAGTAGGGAAGAAGATTCCTTGAAAGAACATAAAAGAGGTCCGAGTTACACTGAATTAATACAGTTAGCCCAAGACAGTCACTAGTTACAGCACTGACAAAACAGTACTGTTGCCAAGGAACTCAGTGATGGAAAAAAATAATAAAAAATCAGGAACTTGGCCAGATTATTAGTTCTTAATGACTTAAGTGCCAAAGGCCTTTGTTCAGAATCCACTCTGAATGTCTGCATTTCTTATGCTAGCTGACCAGTTACTTCTCAAGCACTTGAGGTGCTTGACACTTTTCTATTACTCTTTTAGAGACCACAAGTGACTGCACTTTTAAAATTATTATTTTAAACCAGGACATCATTACACTGGTCAGAATGGAAGGATAGGAAAGTAGAATAAACACACAAAAAAAATCTCTATCCCTCTTACACAGTTCTTCACTTTAATGACAATTAGCTAAAGTCTCAAGCATTCTAATTTGTTTAGAGAATGGAGATAAACTAGGCAGTCACCTCCTGACTGGGATCTGCCAGGCTACTCTGCAATCATTCAAATGTATATGTTGGCATAATACACTGTTGACCATTGAGCTTTTTCACTGTTTTCTTACTTTGCGAAGTCCTAGTTATTCTGGTTTTTTATACTTAAGGAGAATAAGCCAAAATAGGCTTAGAAAATACGACTGTTTTGGATGAAACCCAGGTTTAGTGCTGTTTTAATGTGGATAACTCATTTTGAAACCAGTGAACTGACAAAACTAGAAATGGAAGTTCACAGGATTTGCTGAATTCTCATCAAGCAAATCTTGCTTATCTGGAAGTGTTGACTGGCTAGAATCCAGCCATGACAGAAGAAGTAGGAGGAACCTGGATATATTTTCTCTTCCTTCACTTTGCCTGAAATTGGGATGTCTGGGATCACTCTTGTCAGACTTCACACTTGTGAATCTAGAGCACAGCATCAGTTATAAGATCACCCTTGGAAAGACAATACAGATTTTACAAGATGCTGAAGGTAGGCTTTGACACAAAGGCACGTTAATGTGTTGGACTTATGTGTCCCAAGGAGTGCTTTGGGTGAAGTTTACACTACCTGCAGTACAACCCCCCACCTACTTCAGAAGTACTTTATTCCAAGCCAAGTCTCATTACCACATCAGATGCAAGTCCTGAAGGAACTGCTGTAGCACTGAAGACATTCCCCATACCCTGACTGCTATCTGATTATCCAAAAGGTAGTGACAGAAGGACAAGCAGCTGAAGGGAAGAGAAGTATGATCGAGGGTTGCAAAAAGTCAGTTACAGTCTACAGTCTGTATTTTAGTTAATCATCCTGTGGTTGCATAATTACTTTCTGGTAGTACCTAACAGATCAGGATTTAACAAGACATAGTAGTTTTGGTAGTAAGGAGGCAGAATGGCAGAGGTAGTTATACTGCAGAGGCTGGCTGGCCTGATTTTTTCTTAGATTATTTTCAGTGTGGTATTCTACAGGTTCAAAGTTATTGAAACAGTCTCTGAAGAGTATCTGTGGAAGAACAGAGATTTGAAGTTTCAGATAACCAGAACAGTTTCCCCTAGAGAGCACTGCAGTTACACTTCTGTCTTCTTTAACACTCAGAGCAATCAGAACTTAGAGAACATAGATTTCTCTGTGTTCCATATTCAGGACTGTTTTTTTTCTACCTAAACTATTACCAGCATCTTTCCTCTAGTTTTCTAGACATCCCATTAGCAAGCATGTATTAGCTGGCTGGCCATGCTGTATTGCTAAACTGGAAGAATAACAGCTAAGCACAATCTTTCTATTCATTGCTGAGTGACTTCTACCTAGCTGTAGACTGTCACAACACTTGACTTGGAACAGAAAGGCTGACCAGAGACCAGTTTGCTTGATACAATACAGGATTGCAGATCATGACATTTCATTATGCTTTCTTCACTTCAGATAATGTTTAAGAACACATCTGGGAAGCTCTGAAATCTCTTCCAAGCACACAAGACTCCAGCAAGTTATCTATGGGAACTGTTGCATGAATCCTAAGGTATTTGTATTCCAGCTGTTTAGGCACTACATGCAATGACATGAATATTTGCAAACTACCTACTTGTGAGGGTTGAGGGCTCTAGCTGAATGAAGGTCTGTATAGTTTCCCTTTAAATTATGAACTAGCTCCCTGAAGATGAAGTATCAAGGGTTTGCATGTTACAACTTGTTCTTTGGATGTGAGCACATGAACTATTGGGAAAACACAGACATGTATGAGGAAGAGTAAACTGATGATTAAGAACTAGAGTTGGGAAAGGGATAAAGCTTGTTCAGTTAACAGGCTTCCCCTGCTCTCTGGGGCAAGGTGTTCCCTCTGCCACGCCTGAGAGGAAGCACAGCTGCTCTCTCCCCTCTCTCTTTGCAGCACTATCTTCTCAGTGCTGCTTAACAGGTAAGTGCTGAAAAAAGAAATAGTGCACGTAGAAGGAGTGGGATACACACTCACTTTTTTTAAGCAAACTGGAAGACACTGATGTAAATAAAGAGAGATAGAAAGCTACTAAATGAATTAAAAAAAAAAAAAATAGGGCAGTCTGTGACTGCTAACAAGGTTGCAAATCCAGTCCTAGTTTCAAGTTTTAATACTGAGTGAGTTTCTTAGCAGTAGCTATGGTATCCATGCACATGCAAAACTTTAACGTTGAACAAAGACCCACACACAGAGGACTAGCAGCTTTACTTTCTTTTTCCAAGTAATCTAGTATAGTGCTAGCATTCCCGCAAGTGGAAAGGATATAGCTGCTCTTACTACATGACAATGAAACATGGGTCGAAAAAAAAATAAAATTAAAAAAAACAACACAAAACACACCTATCAGAGCAGAAAAGCTACCTAATCTGCCCTTCAGCCTTATTGGAGGCTCTTTACTTCAATAAACCATTCTCTGGCACCATGGTCTGTTGTGGGGTTTTTTTCGGATTACAAAGCTCTGAAGTTAGCACAGACATTCTTAACCTTGTTGACATTTCCAAATTTTGTGGATTACTGAGGTTTTCTGAAGAGTAGTTATCTGTAGTCTGCTTTTATGATCTCTCCCCATGCATGTGTGGCCTTAAGAGTCACAGGATAAAAGGAGTTGTGTAACTGCTTTTATTACTCTGTTGAGCGCTTCAGAGAAAGCAAAGTTATATAATTTCACTAGCAGCTTCACTGCCAGTGGCTTCAACAGTGAGATTACAAACATTTGAAGAAGGCCACTAACCTTTACAGTTGATATCAAAGCTTATTTCTCCTTTGTTCGTGGTATCCAACAGCTGCTTAACTTCTTCAGCATTTCCATTTCTAGCATGATGGAGAAGCTGCTGTTCTGCTTCAGTACTCATCTCTAATAAAGATATAAAATAACCAATTTTGCAATCTTTTACGGTGATATAAGTTACAGCCTAATATTATATCACTTTTCTCCCTTATGTAATATTAACAGCACTTTTTCCTGTGTGGAATACATTTATTGTGCAAGCTGTTTTCAACTGTCCAGGACCCAGTCACGCCACTAAGGTACTAAAATTCCTTATAAAAACAAAGCAGTTAAATGACAAAATATCCATGTTTTCTTGGTTCTCAGTTTTCTAAGTTCTAAACATGGCTGGAAAGTTGGAACTGTGTGCCACAAACAAGGCAAGCTTTGCTACAAGCCAAGCCTATCCAGTAAGCATTTACTTTTTCCTTGTAAAGTTTTCACCATTGCCCCTTAAGGTTTTCAGAGACAGTATGAATAAAACAAACAAAAAATACATATGCCTTTAAGTCAAATTATTTCTTCAGAACTAACCAACTTATTTGACTGACCCTGGGGAACAGAATCCACATTCACATGGAGGTTCCCAGATACCCATCAGTGACTGATATGATCAGCTCTCAAACTCAGGTGCCTGACCTCCTCCAACCTTGACTTGAAGGGGAGTCATATACTCAAACAACTGTTTAGATTTCACATTATCTTTAAGCACAATAGTACAACATAAAAAAGTTACCATGTGACTGTAAAACATAACTAGCTAATTCTCATCTTAACATTGTTTTTTAACTACAAAAAAAAAAAAATGCATTTACATATTTCACAGAATAGCACAGCTCAGCACAGGCAAAATCCAACTTTAATACTTTAAGTATGTTTTTAAGGGGTATAAAGAAGCAATTTTAAAAGCAGCCTCAAAAGACTGTGCTGTAATACACAATTTATTGCTGCTAAAAACAACAAAAATGAAGTTGCCCAAATTTAGTGTCTCCAGTTTAGCACCTTCACCTGACATACTAGGCTTACCAGATCCTGCAGAAAACTAGATTTCTAAAGTCAGTTAATGATTTCAAAGAACATTACTGGCCTCACATAGTTAGCTTTCCTATACTAGCAGAGGTTTTGATTGGTCCCACAAATGGTTAACACTTTGCTGCAATGAACAGGCAGCTTGGTTGCACCACATACACTCACAGCTAAAATAGACGCAGGAAGCATCTACTACTTTGATAAGACAAGAAGCCACTCAGCAAGAAAAAAGTGAGAACACTGGGTAAACAACAAAAAAGCCTGTAACAGTGACAGATCTTGTAATATTCAAGACTGAGACAGAAGCTTAGAACAGGAGAGATTGCCATAGTGCTAGCAATATAGAGAGAAGAATTTTCACTACCTTTTGCTCTGTTAGCAAAGGAAGAGAGGAAAAAAATAAATAGTGAGAAAGATCAGGTAAAGCCTTTCTAGCATGTTTCAGAACAGACCAGATCAATCACCCTCAATCTACCATACAGACACAGGATACAAATGCCTTCTCCTGCAGCGGTTAGACAATACTCTTGCTTGCACCTTCTTTTCAGTTCTACTTAACAAAAACAAAGAACAAAACAGTACTAGTCCTTTTAGTAATACTTCAAGCTCTGATGTTACATTCTCCTTTAAACAGGAGACTACCCACTTGTCTGAGGCAACTCAGCAGTGTTATTACTGAGGCAGGTATAATTTTCAGTGAATCAGTTCTACCAGGGCCCAGAAAAAGATCAAAGTCACACATGTTAATGTAAAACTGGAGAACTGAAGTCTGCAATACTTTCTCTGAAGCTCAGTGATACTGTTTCAGGGGGACACAGAATGCAGAACTGAGAATTATATAGACAAAAGCTAAGAGGATAGTTAAAGCTCATTTTGTTGGACTATCTATCAGGGATGGAAGAGGAAAAAATCTCATCTTTCATTTTCACCTCCTCCTACACAGTATTTCTTTAGCAATCTCTCAAATGCTTAGATAAGAGAAACATACTCTTATTGTTACCCTATATCATTTGTCAGCATCCGACATACACAACAGGTATAAACAGTAATACTCTCAACGCATTAAGAAAGTGCAGATTCAATCTGAAATTGCTGAGAAGGAAGAAAAAAATGCTTGGGAAGAGAACCAAGAAGCTGATCCAAATGTAAGCAGCAAGACCAGCTATGTACACAAGCAGAATCTTAAATGGCTTAAGATACACAGAAAGCTGAATCACTGTGTAAAGTTACTTGCATGATTTTTCTTCCTCTGCCCCCAAAGTATCATTAGGTTAACATCACCAGTTGGTTTGTACTCTAACAGCAAATATTAGCAGTAAAGTTATATGCATATAAGGTAAGAAAGGTTTGCCTGCTTCAATAGTTTAGCTCCCAAAGACTTTGCTGTTTAGGCCAAACCTCCAATCTGCAAGCTTGAAGCATGCAATGATGCAGAAGAATTACTGTCTGACTATTAGTCATAGAAGGATTATTCACGTGAAAATGTTCCTACAATTGAGGCTGGAAAGTGAATCTGTGTGCAGTTACTCATCAGACAAGAGACAGAAACTAAAGTCCCAGCTAACAAGCTAAATGAAACGCCTGCATGAACCTGGCAGCAAAGGGGCTCTTAACAGAACTTAGCATAATCTTGAAAATACTGCTTTAAGCAACCAGATTTGCTTTGTAATGGAGATCAGCAACCCACCAGTCTCAAGATACCTAACCAGACTATCAGCACAGATGGAGAAACCTAAAGGGTTTTTTCTTAATTAGCCATAAGATACTTACTAGCTGGTTAATCTACATCAATTGTGTTGCCTATACGCAAAGTTACTAGGCACTTTTAAGGGAGTGGACATCTGTTCAGTCGGTGGTGTTGCCATCATTACATCACTCCATGAATCCACTGACATAGGTTAAACTGCCTTTCACAGCTCATCTTTATGCCTTATGCCGTTGAAAGGCTGGTATGTTCAGCTATACAGTCACTGGTATACCATGAGAAAACAACGTAAGTACAGTATTTAGTGCATCCTATACAGCTGAGATGTGACTGCAAAGCACTTTTTTTGAATGAATTAGGAATACCAGAACAGTACCTGACTGCTAATCGAATGTTATCCTTTAAGAAGCTATAAAGAATAGCATCAGAATGCTCTGCTTTTATCTTCTTCTACAAGACCTATGCCAGAGTGATCTTCTCACACTATTACAGCACCTATCTTCACACAGAAGTTGTCTCCAGCACAGAGACCTCAGGTAACCATGTTGCCTGCACACCTGCTTAAGGGGGCTTTACAGAATACTTAATAACAAAAGACTAACTACCAACACAAACTACCAACTCCATTCAACAGCCAGGAGACAGTGTATGTAAAAAAACCCCTCCTTTTCTCAGAAAGCTGTTGACAAAGACCTAAAGTGCCATCCCTGACCACAGGGCAGCACTATTGATAAGACTCACTTGCTTTTGCTTTGATTTCTTCTCCTGCTGAGGCCTCCTGCCCAGAACAGCACCAGCACACACTAACGAGAACATGGCTGGTTTTCACTCTGCTGCAACTTGATAAGCAGCAGAAGCAGTGTTGGCACTGCCTAATTTCATGTTAAGGCTCTGAGTCAGCATATGAAGCTTCCTATTCATAATGAATAGTAAGGTTAGTAAAAAGCACAGCACTGCCTAGTATTTCAAGAGATCTCCCTCTAGCAATGGAAACTAGAATCCTGTAGGAAAAGATGATACTTGCTCAGGAAGACTTCTTGCATGTCCCAGCTAGCACATATAACGATGTGATGCTTGTAAAGGAGGAGGACAAAATGCACCAAACCACACAAACAGACAGAACCTGTCTACAAACCCACACAACACATGGCACTCACAGGAGTTGCTGCAAGAAGGAAGAGTTGCAGTACTAACAGCAGGAGTGATATTATCTAAACGTAGTTATTTCAGCTAAAGCGCTGTAGAAGTTAGAAATCGAACACGCTTCCATGACGCAGCCTCGGTACTTCACGTGAAATCACCACCTATCTGAACACAAAGTTACCGTCTGCTCAGTAGCAATTAAGGCGGATGCAAACAACACAGTATCTGTTCAATTGCCAAGGCAATAGCTATTTTAACTAATCCTCGTTCTTCGCCATCTCCTGGCTGCTTTCCGCACATAGTTTTAGTTCTGTTGCGTCAAAGACTTTCAGCCCAGGAGCTCTGAATAAGCTTACCCCAGCTAGTGCGGGTTCCCGGCGGACCAGCAGGCGAGCACCGCTCCAAGCCAGCAAGAACTTCAGCAGAAGCCCTGGAGCTCGCTCTCTCTCTCTCTCTCTCTACGCCCGTCTGGAACCCAGCAGTCCGTTTCGGTGCCGGTAACTACACGCTTTCTCTTTTTTTTTTATATGGCGATCGGCTCACGCGTCACGGCACCTTCACCTCTTGCCAGGGGCAAAACTGCGCTCAGGCCCGGGGCGGGGCGGGGGGCCCCGCACCTGCAGCACCGGCCCCCGCACCGCGGGGCTGCTGCAGGGAGAGGGAGGAGGAGGAGGAGCGGGAGGAAGAGCCGCACGCAGCGGGGCCTCACACCCCGCCC